AATATACCGGAAGACGTGAATTGGTCAAGCAAAACACGTCTTTTGAAACCTCGATCCTCGCGAAGGAGGACGTCGGTTCTTCCCGAATGACCCGTGAAGGGGTCAAACGAGTGCATGACAGAACCACAAATCATCCTAAAACCTCGATCCCCACGAAGGAGGACGTCGTTTCTTCCCGAGTGACCCGCGAAGGGGGCAAACGAGGGCATGATAGAACCACAAATCATCTTAAAACCTCGATCCCCTCAAAGGAGGACATTGGTTCTTCCCGAGTGACCCGCGAAGGAGTCAAACAAGGATACGGAAATCATAAAAGCTTACCCCCGTAAGAAGACACTACGGGAGCCCCCTCTCACTATGCTGAGAAGATGAACGACTCCTATGAAATCGCGATCGGCGCGGAGACATGGTTAACCTGCAATGAAAGTCAACGGATCAGGTACAATCATAAATCCAAGAACCCGAAATTTAAAAGGAAAATTATGAACTTTGACTAAAATCTTATAAACAAAATAGGATTTTACAGTTGAAGTTTAATTAAACCTATGGGTTTTATGCATGCGAACAATGGGTTCAAATTACATTTAAAACCTTCATAATCAACTTTTGGGTAAAATACCCAAAATACCCCTCATATTCAAGGTTAAATTTTAGCCACGAACACATTCGAATTTGGCCATGATCGAGGAAAGAAGACCATTGTCCTCAATATCTCACAATTTCAGCCAATTTTGCAAATAAACCCCTCTACAAGTTTTAGCCAATTTTGCAAATAAACCCTTCTACAAATATCGGTCCAATTTGCACATACATCTCTCAAACTTTTGGTCATGGGTATATAGTCCAAATTCTACAAATCTCAGCCCTAACATTTTAGCCCTTTTGCAAATAAGCCCCTCTACAATGTTCGGTTGCCTTTTTGCAAATAAACCCCTCAACAATGTTGGTCTTTTTGCATAAAGCACCCATCAAAATTTCAGCCAAATGGGCATGAAATTTCAGTCCACTTTTGCACAAAAGCCCCTCAAAATTTTAGCCCTAGTTTTGCACAAAAACACCCCAAATTTTGGCTATATTCAAAACCCACATTCAAGATTCAATCTTTTTCACAAAACCCACCTCATGAGGGCAAAAATCTATGACATTTGCATACAAATTCATGGCATATCATCATTACAAGAATAAAGTTTCGATCTTTCTTGTAAAACCTATGGATTCTTAACTTAGAATGCAAGAAAAGAAAGAGTTCTTGAAGAGAAGATTACCCAAATTGAGAGTTTGAAAACCCAACTCCAAAAGTCCAAGTCTTGAGCTTGAAGATGCAAAAAACCCCAGCTTTGAGAAGAGACAAATTTCGGCCAAGAATAGAGGAGAGGATTTTCGAAATTTTGTGGGGTTTTTAAAGTGTAAAAGTTTGAGGGGTTTTAGAGTACTTGGAGAGGAGAAGTTCGGGTTATGAGGAGTTGGGTTTGGGAGGGGACTTCAGGAGGAAGAAGAAGTTTAGGTGGAAAAGAGTTCTATTTGAAATTTGGGAGTTTAAGAGGGAAATGAAAGTACAAGCATAAGGAAACAATAAAGCAAAAAAAATCTCGGCCTTGGCCGAGACACCCACGGGTGTCTTGGCCCAGGTCGAGCCCCCAAGTATTTTTCATGATCCAATTTCGCCTAATTTCACCGGTGATTGGCTATTCTGATGAAAATCAACACAAAACAACGTCGGGCGATCCAAAACCCTAGGCTAACGCCAGTCAACATGTTATAATAAAAGTCAACATCGGTCAATGCGTAACCCTAGATCAACGCCACTCAACGCGTTGCGATAAAAAGTCAACGTCGGGCGATCCGAAACCCTAAGGTCAACGTCGGTCAACGCGTAACCCTAGGTCAACGCCACGCAATACGTTACGATGAAAAGTCAACGTCGGGCGATCCGAAACACTAAGGTCAACATCGGTAAACGCAAAACCCTAGGTCAACGCCAGTCAACACGTTGCAATGAAGGTCAACATCGGGCAATCCGAAACCCTAAGGTTAATGCCGGTCAACGTGTAACCCTAAGTCAACGCCACTCAACGCTTTGTGATGAAAAGTCAACACCGGGCGACCGAAACCCTAAGGTTAATGTCGGTCAATGCGTAACCCTAGGTCAACGCCAGTCAACGCGTTGTAATGAAAGTTAACGTCGGGCAATCCGAAACCCTAAGGTCAACGTCGGTCAACGTGTAACCCTAGGTCAACGCGTTGCGATGAAAAGTCAACGCCGAGCGATCCGAAACCCTAAGGTCAATGTCGGTCAACACGTAACCCTAGGTCAACGTCACTCAATGAGTTACGATGAAAAGTCAACGCCGGGTGATCCGAAACCCTAAGGCCAACGTCTGTCAACGCGTAACCCTAGGTCAACGCCAATCAACGCGTTGCAATGAAGGTCAATGTCGGGCAATCCGAAACCCTAAGGTCAAAGCAGGTCAACGCGTAACCCTAGGTCAACAACACTCAACGCGTTATGATAAAAAGTCAACGCCTGACGATCCGAAACCCTAATGTTAACGTCGATCAATGCGTAACCCTAGGTCAATGCCACTCAACGCGTTGCGATGAAAAGTCAGTGCCGGGCGATCCGAAACTCTAAGGTCAACGCCAGTCAACGCGTAATCCTAGATCAATGCCACTCAACGTGTTGTGATGAAAAGTCAACGCCGAGCGATCCGAAACCCTAAGGTCAACACTAATCAAGGTGTAACCCTAGGTTAACGCTACTCAACGCGTTGCGATGAAAAGTCAACGATGGGCGATCCAAAACCATAAGGTCAACACTGGTAAACACGTAACCCTAGGTCAACGCCAGTCAACGCATTGTGATGAAAGTCAACATCGGGTGATCCGAAACCCTAAGGTTAGTGCCGGTCAACGCGTAACCCTATGTAGGCGTCTAAAAATGCCTATAGGTGTCTGCGCATAGCTCGAGACAAAGAGAAGGCGATGAACGCCATTATCCGAGTCAAAGAGGATTATCTGACACCGACAAGCGTATGAAGCAAAACAAGTGGCCCGCGTGCTCACCGGCCAGCTCCAAGTGGTCAACACGCTCACCGCCCACTTCCAAGTGGCCCGCATACTCATCATCCACCTCCGAGTTACGAAATGTATGAAATGAATCAGTGAAGCATACGAGTCAACGTGACACGCGAAAGATGTCCCGAGTTCCATACTCTAATGCAGTGGGTAGCATTATGTATGCTATGATTTGCACTCGTCCAGACATTGCCCAGGCAGTCAATGTAGTGAGCAGATACATGGCTCAACCAGGGAAGGCACACTGGGAGACAGTAAAGTGGATCCTTCGGTATCTCAGGGGTACCTCAGATTTGGGTTTAGTTTTTAATAGGAGTACTTTGGGAACCTCAGTTGTAGGTTTTGTAGATTCTGACTATGCAGGTGATCTCGATAAAAGGAGATCTTTGACTGGTTATCTTTTTACTTTTTCTGGCTTAGCTATTAGTTGGAGATCGACTCTACAGTCAACAGTTGCCTTGTCTACTACAGAGGCAGAATACATGGCAGCAGCAGAAGTGGTAAAAGAGGCCATTTGGTTGAGAAATCTCGTGAGTGAGCTTGGACTACAGCAGGAGGCTACTTCAGCTGTATTTTGCGACAATCAGAGCGCAATACATCTAAGCAAAAACTCAGTACATCATGAGAGGACAAAACATATTGATGTCAGATATCATTTCATTCGTGAGGCAACTACTGAAAGGAATATCACGATGAAGAAGATTGGTACTGCAGACAATCCAGCTGACATGTTGACCAAACCCATCCCGACCTTCAAGTTCAAGCATTGCTTGAATTTGGGAGGCATTCGTACTTGTTAAGTGGCCCCTTTTGGGGCATTGTTTGCAAGATGGGTGAAGACTCACTAGTTATTGGTGTCGGCTCAGTTTTGGAAAAACTTCACCGAGGTGGAGATTGTTAGTCAACAATTGAGGCTGGCACTTTCGGTGGCCTCCGTTGTTGACATCAAGAGAGAGGGGAGAGGTTGTCTCTTTCGTTGAGGCTAGCCAAAATTGTTGACAAGTGCCAGAGCACTCTTGTTGACATTGGGGAGCTAGAGCCGCAATTACAGCTGATGAGGGAGACGGGGAGCCTGTCATTGTTGACAAATTGAAGGGATTGAAGCCTATAAAAGCCCCCCTCTCTTCCTCGGTTGAATGCACTCAAAACTCTAAGAAATCCAGCAGAGAGTGAGTGAGAGCAAAAACAAAAGAGAGTCTGCTAAAATTTTGTATGTACGTTGTATTTGAGAGATTGAATATAGTGAAAGCCCCCTCTTGCCGTGGACGTAGATCAATTTGATCGAACCACGTAAATATTGTGTTTGTGGTTGTCTCTCTATTCTCTGGTTTAGTGGGTAATTTCCCAACAAAATATGTAGTGTAGCATCTTAAGGAACAAAATGAGTCGTAAAGAACAAAATGAGCATTCTAAGGAATAAAATGAACGGCTTTAGGAACAATATTCTTTATTTAATAAAGATAGAGAGAAAGTTGATAAAGATGTAGCATATTTAAAGTCGGAAGTAGCTAGATTGATTTCTGAAATAGAGAATGTGAAGTCAAAACATGATAGTATCAATAAGCTTTATCAATATAAAGCTAAGTTTGGTAAGAGTCAATCGTACTTTGCACAGAAACCAGATGATCCTAAGCAACCTACTCAAAAACATCCACCAACAGGTAAGAAGCCCGATTAATTTTAGCACTAAGTTTGCTACCTTAGCTGAATTTCTACTTCCGAAAAGAGGAAAGTTGCCTTTCTGCTTAAAGATGGCATATTTCGTTTACTTCAAATACCGAACTATGAAGAGAATATTATATAACATCAACTCGATCTTCCATCATACAGCTCTGAGTTGAATAATCCCCCATCAGTATATGATCTATATATACGTAGCATGGTAAAAATAATGTTATGCCAGACCTAAATATCAGGCTATGAAGATGGCTGACCGAGTTTTCAGTAGTATGGGTTCTAGCAAAAATGTTGCATCGTGGAGTTGTATGGTCTCGGGTTATGCTAAGTGCGGGAAGATTGAGAATGCTCGTATGGTCTTTGATGAGATGCCCAAAAAGGATTTGATCTCTTGGACTTCGATGATCAGCGGGTATTCTCAAAATGGAAGATATAAGGAGGCAGTGGAGCTATATGAAGAAATGGGGAAGCAAGGAGTAAAGCCTGATGAGGTTACTTTGGTTGCTGTTCTTTCGGCATGTGCACATTTGGGTTATCTTGATTTCGGCAAAAGAATTCATCTTTATATAGAAAGTGATTCTATCGGGCGTAATAACTCCAGGCTTTGCACTGCAGTTGTTGATATGTATGCCAAGTGTGGTCACATAATGACTATCATGTGATTTATAACTGCAAACAATAGTTATACTCATAATTGCCCCATTTAGACATATCTAATTCAAATTTGTTCCACTTATCATCAATTATACTAGGTTTCGTTTCTGTTTTGTAAGGTCTTACGCATACAGTATGCACATAAAACTTGTAAGCATCTAGTATTGAATCTATCTTTAGATCCCAAGTTAACTTCAGTTTTTTACTTAAATCCTTAGGTATATTATATTCTCACGTAAACTTAAGTGCTTCTGATGGAATTGGCTCATTCATGTCATAGACAGAGGACAAGCAATTTCTAATCATATTATTATCAATATAATGGTTTGTGAGATGTAATGGATTTCCTATGTTTATTGAAGAGTAAGATATATTCATAAGGGATGAGCTTTGCGAATAAAGCAGTAGAAATGAAATTCTAGCCGATGCAAAAAATCTCACAACCCAATGCAAAAGCCTTCTCAAACATCCCCCAAGCTCTGGCAATTGAATTCACACCACTAATCAACCTAATCCTTTTCGCTCAATAAGGATTGGGTTAACTTGGGTCATTCCCAATGGCAGCCATATTACAAAAGTTCTTGGTAGCAACCATAGACTATTTCACAAAGTGGATAGAAGCTGAGCCACTAGTGAGAATAAAAAAAGATATCTACAACTTCATCTAAAAATCAATCATGTGCAGAATCAGAATGCCAGTGGCCATCATAACTAACAACGGTACCCAATTTGATAGTAAGGAGTTTCGCAACTTCTATGAGGAAAGGAAGATCCGACTCAAATTTGCATCAGTGGCACACTGTAAATGTAATGGTTTAGCAAAAGCAACAAACAAATGCATACAGCAAGTACTGAAGAAGAGAATAGGCCAAGTAAAGGGAACCTAAGTCGATGAGCTCCTTGGTATTTTGTGTAACTTACAAAACTCCACAGGGGAAATACCATTCTGATTAGCATACGGAGCGAAAATAATCATCCTAGTAGAAGTCGATATGCTTACTATATAGCTACAACATTTCGATGAGGAAGCCAATTTGATTGGCCTTTAGAATTAGACTTGACCTCATCAATGAAATAAGAGAGAAAGTAATTTGGTCTTTGATAATCAGTTAGTAGCGCATCACTTGGCACAACAATAGCCAGGTCTAACCTTGAAGGTTAAAACTAAGAGATCTAATCTTCCAAAATGCTACCTTCAATAAGGAAGTCAATCATGGAAAGCTCCCCGCAAGTTGAGACTGGCCCTACAAGATCATAAAAGAAGTCTACTTGGGAGCCTACTGGTTGTAGAATAAGAATAGAGAAGTCTTGAAGCATCTTTAGAACATAGAGCATCTCAAAAAATATGTTGAATAAATGTATTTGAAAATCTTCATATCAATGATAAGCTATTTATCTTTTTCTCTAAAATCTTGTACAAGGAAATGAATGCAGCAACAAAAAAACCATGTGACTTGGTCTTCACTGTCTCATCCAGGGTACTCTAAGACCTTGTTATCTTCATGAGTAAAATCAATGCACAATAAAAAGGCTTTACAGGCACTTCAATGATTCACACAATGCAAGGTAAATTTCCCTAAGAGTAAAATCAACGCACGACAAAAAGACCTTAGAGTCGGTCTTCACTGACTCACACAAGGTAAGGGAAAAATCCTTGCGGCTCGGTCTTCACTGACTCCTCCAAGGTACTCAAATACATTAGTATCAGTCTTCATGAGTAAACTCAAGACAAAGGCCTTAGATTCAGTCTTCACTGATTCACAGAAGACAAGAAAAAATCCTTGCAAGCTCAGTCTTCACCGACTCGCCCAAGGTACTCAAAACCCTTTAGAATAAATTGTAGGAATCAAAAATTAACTATAGGTCCCCGCACGCGGCTCAAGATAGAGAGAAGATGATGAATGTCGCTATTCGAGTCATAGAAACTCATTTGACAATGACAAATATACGGAGTGAGTCGACGGACCATACAAAGCAACGGAACAACAGAATAACAGAAACACGAGCTGATCGGGAGCCCCACGTTGCTTACGAAAGGTGAAGTGCCCCTCGTATCCTATTTATTCCATATGTGATTCAACCATGGAAGCTTATAAATCTCCTCATCAGCTTTCCAACGCATCTTAAACCACGTAATTCCGAGTTTGGACGATAAAGATACGGTGGAAACAGTTAGAACCGCAAAACCAGGTACAGGCAAAAAGTTTGGCCAAGACACCAAATGATGTCTCGGCCAATGCTTGGCCGAGACACCAAATGGTGTCTCGGCCAAGGCATGGCCGAGACACCACATGGTGTCTCGGCCAATGCTTGGCCGAGACACCAAATGGTGTCTCAGCCCAAGCTTGGCCGAGACACTCACGGGTGTCCGCAGACCCGAAAATCTGGTTTTGGCAGTTTGAAGCTGTTTTTCGATCCTTAATCGCCTGGATTTATTTCAACTGATAGAATATCATCCAACAATATGGTTAAGTGGTTGTAACTGAGGATAAGAGGGAATCGGCCATTCTTATCCAAAAACAGAGGTCCTAAAGCCAATAAATACAGCCTTTATTTTTTTAGATCTGGAATTCTCGAGCGTCGGTGAAGCCATGCCGAATTGAGGACTGAAGAGCCACGAATTTTAGAGAGGAGGAGGAGAGATCGGATCGAGTTTGTCTGCATAAAGAAGAGGAGCTCGTCAGATCTATACTCCCCAATTCCTTCCTTGAGATCGCCCCGTTACGGTGATCTCGAGATGAGTGGTTATCTCGCCGTTGCCGAGATAACTGCTTCGGTTTCTTGATTCCTTCACGAATCAACAAAGCTCCGGATCTGATTTGATTGTTTGGTGGTCCACGGATATCAACGTCCCTGTCACAGGCCAAGATCCCATGTAAGCAGCATGCGATAAACACCCATTGTATTTGTTTGAAGAGAGTTGTATTTTTCTTATTTTCATTGTGTAAGAAAGTCTTATAAAAATACTAATTTTACTTTGAATCTGTAATCGATAAACGTGTAATGGATTCATCAATGAAGATATCAACTTTCACAGCAAACAAGCTGACGACCATAATGGGAGCCAACAGCTTCGCTACCGAAGCTGTCGTGCCACAGCCGACGATCAAGATCCCGGTGTTCAAAGAGGTCGAATACGAATTCGACCAGCAGAAATTCGAGGAATATATTTCCTCCTCCTCCTCCAGATCTTCTTCTTGAAAACGTAGGAAAACCACTGCCGCGAAGAACATGCCTTCAGATCCGAAGACCAGGGCTAATGATCTGAACCCGAATGCAGTGGAAGACTCCTCTCCGGCCTCCAAAGAAACCAGATCCAACGTTCGTGACAACTCCTCGAAAGTCAAGTAGTTGCCCATTGTGCACCAGTGCTGACGAAGAGGGCTCGTCAAAGGCGTCGTCAACATCTCATGCGCCAATTTGCCAAGGCTTTAGAGCCTGTTGACGGGATCTGCTATGATGCGGATCTGAAACGCAGAAGGCGCCAAGTGTTCCAGCAGCAAGCAAACGCTTCCTCTTCCAAACCAGCAACGAATGAATGGGTTTATGTCAAAAAGATCCATTCAACTCTTGAGGAACGTATCCATAAGCGCCGTGCACTGTTAGCGCAGACAAGGATCCTTGTGTGGAAGGCACAAGAAATGCAAAAGGAAGAGGCGATTAAGAGATCGCCGAGATCCAAATAAATTTGGATGCCAAAGGCTAAATCAACGTCTAAGGCAAAAGTAGGCGACGTTGCTCCCCAGCCTTCGTCAACTTCAGATCCCGCTCCTTCCGCTCCCACACCTCTGGTGGAACCTTACAACGGTGTGGATCTCTCCAGAGTTAGAATTCTTTTGAAGGATCGCCTTGGTTCGCTACCCAAAGATCGAGGTAGAGTGCCTATTAAGGAACGCCTGGGACTGTTGAAGGAACCCCGACAAAACATCCAGACTGGGGGTCGAACGCGACCTCCTACCAAGTTGATTCTTGTAACCGCCCACTTGGGGGTGCGTACAGAAGGCCAGGAGCCCGTTAAGATTTCACCCTCAGAAAAGTATGATTCCAAACGTGTGACTCCTACAGACGCCAACAAGGAGTTGTTTACTCAGAAGAAAACACGTCAGACAGACGAACGCGTTATACATAAGAATTCATGTAAACAGCCGATAGGTTACTCTAACCGCAACGTCGATGAGTTGTACTATCGGGCTGGGGGTACGAATAAATCTCAAAAGAAAAGTACACGGGAAACGGACACTAATTGTCCGTGTACCAAAATTATTAGGGTAGTATTATCAGAATGTAGCTGCCCTAAGATCGCTCCACAGAGGGTCTCGGTATTTGAAAGGATCTCCAACGGAACGATTAAGTCCAAACCAAAGCATTTCCGTAAAAAACGATCAGTCGTTCAAGGTGAAGAATTTCCGGAAGTTACGGTGAATATGGTTGATAAGGGAAAGTCGGATCGATCTTCTAGTTCTAATCCGCTCGTATCGTATCGTCTAACTCGGCCACGCGCAGGGACTACTAGACGTTGGGATTATCAGAGAATGCAGAGGGATTATCCTCAGACGATGAAGCATTAGATGCTAACTCTGCAGTCATTTCTGACAACACGGTATCCAGTCCAGAACAATCCCGAGAGGCGTTTATGACCAACACCGAGCAAATAGCCAAAATCATCTAGGATGCCTTGACTAAGCAAAAAAGAGAACTTTAAGTTCGAAATGGAAATAGCTATGCTGCGGATGAGGGAAGAACATGACCAACAGATCTGAGCATTGTCAAATCAGATAGGCGAATCTAGTCGTCGCAATGATGCTAACCAAGCAAATAGTGATTCGGATGCGGATGAACATCTCAATGCTAAGAACTCTCCCACTGACCAGAACACTAGGGGTGGTCCTACGACAAATAACAACACTGGGGATAGTCCCACTGAAGATAATAATACCGGGGGTGACCACACTGTTCCTCTCAGAAATCGTCCGAAGCATGGTACAGATGAGGATGAAAAGATGAAGGA